AAGCATAAGGCAAATATACAATTTATAATTGCCTAACAAAAATATAACAGTATTTGTTTGTATTTTTATGGCAAATTCATACAGCTTTTAAAATATTTAAGATACCTGATTAGAAGTTGCTGCAGCGCTACCAGCCTGGGGAAAGTTTCTTCCTGAACTAGTTCCTGGTTGTGGGGATTTTTCCTTTAGTATCCTATCTCCCGCTGCATCAACACAGCATCTCTGTCCTTCAGACTTAACTGTAATATTACTTTCAACCCTTCCGCTATCTTTGTTTTCTAATTTCACAGCTGGTCTTTCAGCAGCTTCAGTTTTGATATTACCTAAATTTGATGAACTAGCATCAAGATTTTGTGTATTCTCTGTTTTAATATTTGTCACTTTAGGCAGACCTGGTTCTTCTTTAACAGCTGGTGGTACATTTTTAACCTGGTTTCTGTGATGGTGGTGGTGATGGTGATGATGGTGGTGGTGAGATCCATTATGAAAGTTATAATAGCTTGGTGTTGCTGAAACTTGATTTGGTTGATTATGATTACAGCTGTGATTACTATTGGAAACTGGTGAATTTTCTTGTTTTACATGAGAATTTTGACAGCTGTGCTGTGTGTGTCCTGAAATTTGTTGGTTATTAGGTCTATGTCTAAATGTATTTTCAGGTTGTTCTACATGTTTTTGTCTAGAAGTGGAGCTCTCTAATGGCTCTTGTTTAATATCGACCCTAGAAGTATTCACATGGTTGTAAAGGGTAGAGTGAGATGGCTCTATGCAACTAGGTGTTGGTTTTGGCCCAGTGGTACCTTCACATTGTTTTTTTCTTGGAACTGACATGGAATCTTCTTCTTCTGAACTAACTTCAATAAAATTACCCTGATTCTCTTTTGATAGCCTTCTTCTAGGTGAAATATTTAACATTCTACTAGGCCGCTCTAAATTATTAGTAGGAGCACCTTGAGGCCTTCTTTCAGGCATGTACATATTCCTCAATCTAGGTTGCGCATGTTCATACCTTTCCTGAGAATTTGTTTCTTGTACTGGCTGAGGGTTAGCTGCCACTGTATAGTTTAAAGGTAAAACTGTGCTGTTAGAGTATGGTGCCACAACAAAATCTCCCCTCGGTTGTGGCCACTGGATGTTATAGGTAGGATAATAGACAGAACTTTCTAGAGGTTTTGATCTATATAGTAAGTTTGACTGTGGGTTCACAGTGCTATCAGGATTAATCCTTGAAAAATCAAAAGAGCTTGAACTATCTGGAAGAGGTTGATATTCATGTGGAACAGGTGTATGGACTGTGTTAGGATATGAGAGAGAAGAAGGACTTGTTTCATAATTACTCTGATTAGCAGACGTAGAATTGATACAGTTAGATGATATTACTTTTCCTTTATTGACATTTTGTTCAGTAGTTCCATTTGATGGAGCAGGAAGTAATTCTAAATCATCATCACTTTCAGCAAAAAGCGTTTCACATTCCATTTCATCTGAAATTAAATAAAAATAAATCAATGTTTACATGCAGCTTACAACATGATTTAGTAAATAAGAAAATTGTATTACCAGTTCTTTGTGTCGTCTCCACGGCTTCCGACGTATTAACAGTGTCGAGAATAGCTGCTAGAGAGGAAGGGCCAGGAATGTCCCATGCAGAGCTATTTTGTTCATTATCACTCCTTTTTTCACTCATATTTACACGAAATTGGTGTTCATATAACAATAATATGCACTTTGTAATAAATTTATATTGTGATGAAATACAAAAACATAAATATACTATTGTACACTACATATTTTTGAAGATGATTTCTGCTCATGTTAATATGAGATATAGGTCTTTAGCACGTTGATATTACTATTCGAAAAAACACGGAAAGGAATATAAATAATAAAGGACGACATAACGTTAAATTTACTTATATTTCACTGTTAGATTTTTTTCTTAGGTGATATTATTACTTTCTTCATTGATATTGCGACTTTGTCTTACTTTGTAATTTGACAATTGACAACATCAAACTCATAGAATAAGAAAAAATGTAGAAACTGCGCTAATAGCAAACGAAGAAATCCATCGCCATCCTCATGCATAAAAATGTCGTTACGTGTTTTATATACGTTGTTTGGCATGAGTTTGATACTTGAATATTCATTATCCCGAAAGAAAACTGCTGATATAAAAGAAGAGCCATTAGAAAACTCCACTTCTAGATATAAAATAATATAGAAGATCAACCTGAAAATACATTTAAACATGAACCTAATCACCCATATATGTATATCGACGTAGGAAAGCATATTTGCTGTAAGTAGACAAAATACCTAAAGTGAAAGTCACTGATTCTAATGGCAGTAAAAAGTTACTGCCATTAGAATCAGAAAAAAAACCCGCATCGAATGTCCCGGGTCCTGTGTCTCTATGATGAAAAAAAATTACATACGCGGTTGAAAACGCCCGTACATATATTTTTTTTAGTAAGATTAAATGCTGTATGTAGATCAAAATCCAGTCATTTTAGACAAATTTGTACTTACAGCAAAAGAAAAACTGCATTTTTTTCTTTACAAATACTTACTTCCCATTTAAATATGTATTTAACGCTACTTACAGCAAGCTTAGGGAACCTACAGTTTTAGTTTTTTTTTACCATTTACGACATTTTATTTCAACCAAACATTACATTACCAAATGACCCACTGCATTTCTAGATCTAATCATAATTATAAACTAATCTTACATCTTGAATTGCAATTGAAAGTACCCAAATACATAAATCTACTGCATACAGCATATTTACCGCCTGTAAATTGATAATATTTCCGCGCGTACATTTTTCTTCCTTAGTTACAGCGTTTTAAAGGTTTGTGATTTAAAAAACTGTATGCTGTAACTAGCCAAACACGTACTTATAGTAACTTTGGATAAAAAGTTTACATTGCAAAAAGTGACTGGCAGTTAAATAAACATATGTTTCAAAAATGGTAGCAATATCATGGATAGGTTCGACACTATTAATTTTTTGCCGAAATTAATTAAGTTTTTTGGCTCTGGTGAACAATTGCAATATGTCTACTTACAGCAAATATGCTTTCCTACGTCTATATACATTATATATATTTATATCTAATTCTAGATATACGTAGGTGATAAAAATGTTATTGGTAATATCGTCAAATATAATTAATATGTAACATGACTTGCGGTGCAAGAAAATAATTTACCTGTGTGAGTAATTGTAGCTTTTGGTTACGTTGACTTTAAGGAACTTCCCTGATTTTGAAAGTATCTAGCTTGCAAATATTAGGGATATAAGGGTAAAATTCAGAGTTGTGTTTACATTACAAAAGCATATTAAATTTTGATTCTCAACACTGAATCTCATGGAGACATTTCAAAGCTGTCTTGCAAATGCAATAAGTACTAAAAGTATTATGTGAATAATGCTAGTAGATGCACAAATAATTGTATGCTTTCAGATCCCCTTTTCTTTCATTATATTATTTTTTCAACATGAAACACGGTGTATCTAATTAATATAACTACCACGACATTTATAAGGGGCAGTTCTACATTTTAAAAGTACCAGTATATCTGAAAATAATCTTTTTTTTAATAGCACGTTTTATTATTATACTATCAATAATAATATCAGTTATAATCTGTATTTTAAATCCTAATAATCCCTGATTATTTTATTATACGGTATTTCCAAGTAAATTTTACAAGAGAGGTAGGTATATAAAATTCATGAACGAGTGCTCGAGTGTGCTATTTTTGCTCACGGTAGTGCAAACGCTTAGAATTTTTTAATCGTACCTCAGCGAAAAAGATTTTCGATGAAGTAGGTACTACTTTTTAGTTATAATTGTATGATTCGTAAAACTAATTTAATTAGCAGAATGCAAGGTCGGAGCTAATAGAAATATTATTTTACCACAACATGTGATTTTGACCTTGGCTTGACCAAACCACTATCACGGCACAAGTCAATAAGTAATTAAGTATTTAACATACAAAAATATTGTGTCATTCCGTATGTGAAATACTTAAATATCGGTTGTTATTTTCGTGTTTTCTATATTTTGTCTTTTTATTCCGCGATGTTGAAGGAAACCGTGCAACTACTTATTAACGGTTAGAATTCTGTGTTTATGTATTGATTATGTCGATCTCGAAAATATTTATAGTTTTATTATAAGTGAGTTATATCAAAAACTGATATCATTTATTCACTTACAAACGAAATAATAAAAGGTTTTTCTCTACCACTGTTGTTTTACTGTATTTAGAAGGAGCTGTAGACATTACAGCTTGTTCCACATGACACGGAATGGTTTAATGGAAAAAAATTAGCTTCTCCCAGCAGGGAGAATTGGGTATGTCGCTATAACCATTAACCATACACCTCGAGGTTAATCATGGATTAAATTAATAACATACACAAGGGCAACTATTGAGGTTCCGGTTAGATTAAGTTAATTATATAAGACTTTTGTAAACATAAACATTCCTATAATTGAATTTAGAAGCAAATATAAGTAGATCATTAACGATTATTTATCTTTTTGTTTTAGTTCAGGGACTGAACTTAAGAGGGCGTGGCATCAAGATAAGCTTAAAATATTAGTCGAGTGGCTTCTATCTTCATGACTATATCTATAATATAGCTTGCTCCGAATAACGTATTAACTATTAAGTATTAACCATTCATGATTCAATATACATTATATTATACACATTCTGATTACTTTGGTGGGGGAGTGGGGACTATAATTGGTGATGAAATTATAAATTGCTATTTATATTTTCAAACAACTTTATTGAATAATCAATGATTGGGAAATGTAGTTTCTTATAACAATTATAAAATAAAATAATTTCTAATTTATTTCAAATTATTATAATTATTTAAACATCGTTGAATGATAGACGTGGTAATTTAAAAAAATATCAGTGGTTGTTAAGTGAAATTATTAAGTGCAAGAAAGTTTAAGGGAATAAAATGTCTCATTTGCCGTTTTTTATAAAAGGGGAGGTAGTAAAAGGATTTGGAAGGGGTTCAAAAGACCTTGGATGTCCAACAGGTGCGATTTTTTTAATAAAATAATATTCCTTTAATGCTAAAAAGAAATCGCAAACATTTTTTAATTTAAATATAAACATGCTATAACTGATTTTACACCTGTACAATACGGTTAATTTTTATTGAAACAATTTGCAATAAAATGTCTTATTTACTTATGTACTTATTATTTATAAATTTCGCAGCAAATTTTTCTCGCGAAGTTATTAAATGCCTGCCAAAAGATTTTAAAAGTGGTGTTTATTGTGGATGGGCACAAGTGGACTCACAACCAGTTTATAAAATGGTTGTTAATATTGGGTGGTGTCCTGTTTATCAAAATGAGGACATGTCTGTGGTATGTATAATAAATCAGGTGCTATGAACTTTATTGGATTTCTCTTAGATGTATTACATGTTATTAAGATTCTATTGAAAGACAGTTGCTCACATGGGTGGACCTAGTCTTGGTCTTATGGCCTTATCCTGGAGCCTGAACATTTTTTGCAACCCAACATGTCAAAACACAGTCTCCTGGTATTTCCCTGTACCAAAATTATGGGCATTAAGATATTTATATTCTTCTTCAGTTTCAAACAAATGCTGTAAGAAGATAAGCATCTTATAACATCACTCATTATGTGTTTATAATAGAAAATAATCATAAAAATACTATCGTAAATTTTTAGTAACAGTCACCTGATACAATTTGAAAACTTTGTAATAAGATCATCAAACAGAATTAAATCAATGTGGTGTTTCTTTGATTATGGAACTAAATTCACTACCACCATTTTGTTGGTTGAACCACTGTATTTTGATTAAGAGAATTTGTCTCAAATAAATAATTTATAATTAGTGTGTGTTTAAATATATAAAACAGCTTAAATGATCTTGTTCAACAGTCATTGCTATATCCTGTTCTTTATCAGAAAGGACTGTTTTTATTTTAGTTTTTTCAAGCCTTACAGCTTGACAAAGCATCAATATAGTAATTTAAACAGTTAAAATGCTTACTGGAGAAATTAGAAGAAATTTTTTAAAAACTAATTTCATAAAATCAACTATAATTAAAAATCATTTAGTTGACAGGTATAAATAGTGTATAAGATTATACACCATATTAGATTATAAACCATACTGTTAATAATGTAATAAAATAATAATAATTAGATAAAGATGATAGCAAATTGAAGAAAAAAATTGCCTGCACTGTCATATTTATCATGAATAACATGTGAAACGTCATAAATGATTACTAAACAGAAAATTAAAAATTTCTTAATGTTTTAAGAAGTTTTTAAAGTAAAGTTCTTAGCTTTAAAGCCCAAGTAAATATTAACTTAATTATTCGATTTAATAATTTATGGGAACAGTATTGTACCATTATCTAAGTGAACTAATGAATTGTACTTTCTGTCAAAAAGCAATTTATCAATCAGATTATTTAAAAAAAAGAGATTTTGAGATTAGTGCATTCAACCAAGTCATGAACTTAATTTTAATTTTAAAACATGGTGTTTTGTAAACTTAAATTGAATAGAAAGATGATTATTATGAAGGCCCATACTGTGAAGATTAGCAAGTTGTTACGTCAAGATAGACATGTAACAGTTAAAATTATCTGATAACATTATTGGACTCTTAAACCATTTCCTTATCGTTTTACTATTGATATTTATTCAACTATCTGTTAACAAAGAGTATTGACTCAAGACTTAGGAAGTTACTGAACATTTTGGAAGAATTTATGTTAAATTAAAAAAAAAACATGAGGAAATGTTTGTGTTACATTTCCTCATGTCTCTAAATAGAATTAATTTGCATCCAATATGTTTAGGTAATATGGGATAAATAGCATCTATTGTGTAGAGATTACCCCAAAAATGTTTTGTGTTCAATTCTTCAATTTAAATGAAAATAATAAAACCACAATAACATATTATTTTGTATATTTCTTTCAGGAGACACATATCATTCATGAATTTGAGAGTGACTTCTATGGATCAACTTTAAAAATTTGTATAACTGAATATTTGAGACCAGAAATGAATTTTACCTCACTAGATGGTTTAATACAACAAATTAGTCTGGATATAAATAATGCAAATAAGAAGCTAGCATTACCAGAGTTTGTCAAACTCAAGAGCCATGAGTTTTTTAGCAATGATAATAATTAGTATAATTTTATATGGTGACTAAGTACTTTATGTACAATGACTATTACACAAATTATATTTAATGTTAGATCAATTGTTTAAATATATTGTTGATAATTTTATTTAATGTTTATGTATTATTATACAATGAATTCCACATTGTGATATTTTTATAGAATATTTAACTTGTTGAATAAAGCCTTTAAAACAGATTAGTAAATTTCAATAACACTAACCTATTAACACAGTAACAAGCTTTAGGACTTAGACACCTCTGGATTTCTCTCTTTAACTTGACTATCTTATTCCACCATTAAACACAATAATAAATAAAATCATGTCGAATGATGATAACCTCTTTTGGTTTTTTGAAGTCAGTTAAAAAGTCAATAATATATTTCTAATTACTCTATTGTGTTACATTAACACCAACTCGTCAAGGTTAGTAAAATATTTTGCATGTAAACTAAGTTTTTATACAAAATTTTAAATTAAACCGAAGGTAATTCAACGTGAGATTTTTTTTTAAACTAGTTGTATATGTTATAGATAAGCTACTACAAAAAAATAAAAAACCTTATTTATTAGTAACTAGTAGACTCGGCCAAGCGTAGCTGTGGCTAAGATTTTTGTTATATTACATAGTAGTAAAGTATTCAAGAGAAACGGCAGGAAAACACCAATCCACCTTGCTTTTTTGGTGGTTATGCCATTAAATTGTAGCTTATGTGAAACGTTGGTACTTATTTTGATAAGGATCAATACCTAGGTACGAATAAAGAGCCTTTTCTAGAGGTGGTATTTTAATAACAAAAAAATTTAAAATTAAAAGGACGCTTATTGTGACGTAACTATAAAAGATAGAGACATACTGTCGCGACATTTTTTATAGATAGTGATGTGTCCTGAAAAATTTTAATACATCATTTAGTTCTATCATGAATAGTTTTCGCAGCGCACGCGATTGGACGAAGTTATTTGTTTATTTTTTTACACCTTGGATTAGATTATTCAGTTTTTGTAAGCATCCCTAACTTTTTTGAAAATGAAAGATAGCCTATGTCACTCGGGAATAGTGTAGCTTGCCAACGGTGAAAGAATTTTTGAAATCGGTCCAGTAGTTTCGGAGCCTATTCATTTCAAACAAACAAAAAATCTAATCTTTCTTCTTTATAATATTAGTATAGAAAACGTTATGTCGTCAAACGAGACTACGTTAAGTCGTTAATACAGAATGTGTAGAGGACACGCCGCTATGAAGCCATAATCACGCGTCGATGCGATGATACATTCATTTTTTATTTGGGAATTTAATCTCGCTGTTGCCAAAGGGCCCTGACAGCTAAGCTCGGGCTGTTTTCAGCCGACACGGGTTTTCCCCGGGACCTCGGGTTTGGGCCGCCGCGGGGTCGTCATTCGCCTGAAGTGCAGGGGGCCTACCATGAACTCTTATTGCGAGCCTATTGACAACCTTCAACTGAGATGCATCGCTAATTCGTACGTCGAAAAAACGAGACAGTTTATATTCCCACGTGACCTTAGCGATTATCAGATTTCGTTCGTTCAATTTGTATGAAAATCCGTACCATGACCGCTCGGCTGAACCGAAATTTGACAGTCGCGCCTTCCAACTATGACAGAATAAGCAATTCTAAAAAAGTTACTTTTTGTTCAACTTTTTTGTATCGAAATGTCCAAATAAAAGTTTAGAACCTATAAAATTCAATATTTGTATTAAAACTTGTTAATAAAGTTAAAATAATAAGATTTATCTACTATGGCTAATATAGGAGAAAAAATATAATTTTTATATTTTCGATATTTTGGGGTATTTTGGGGTGGGTATTTTGAGTTTAGAGTGTGATTATAAATAAATGATTAAAATATAGACGGAGATGATAAACAAGACGGCAATGCCCTTCCGACTATCGACTTCGTAGATATTGAGTTTATAATTTACTATAGATTATTGACTTTGATTCATTGAAGATTTCAGTGTACCTACAAATAATTGCACATTGTTCAATAATATTCAATTAATTATTTATGCATGTCTAACAAAAACATAATCCCCCAATATAATATCATATTTTACAATAAATAAGAATGCCATATTACTAGCAGATATTTATTATAATTAAATTTTTCCTCACTATGTTCATGAATTGTATTATTCTCCTCTGCTTTTTGTTGTTTAAAAAAACATAGGTATTTTTAAATTTATAATGTGTAAATAATAAGCCATTTAGAAATATTATAATAACAGTATTTATTTAGTTAGGATGACTCCATCAAGATAGAAAAAGATGTCTTCAGGCAATGTTCAATTGGTTATAAAAATTTATTCATATAGTCACTCAATTTAGCGATTTTGTCAGGTTGTCAAGAAAATTATTATTATTATTATAGCCTCTTTATTTCCATAATGAATAACATATTAAACAAGTATATCATATGATTAATTATTACATAATATGTGCATGCATTAAAAAATACAATATTATTATTTATAATCTTTAAATTATATTCCAATCATAATTAATAATTTCAATGTACATAAGTTTGAAATGATAAATAAATTAATAAGAATCAAAAACAAAATTCATTTTTATAAATCATTATAAAGTATCATTAAATCGTTATGGACCCCTCTACGGGTAAAGGCCTCCTCCATTTTGCTCCACATCTGTCTGTCTTTTGCTTTGGTGGTCCAGTTTTCACCAGCTTTTCTTTTTATTTCATCAATCCAGTTTTACTTTGGTCTACCTCTTAATCTTTTTTGTTGGTACTCGCCAGGTTACCCTTGGTGTCCATTTTTCCTTGTCCATGCGAGCAGTAAGACCCGCCCAATTACATTTTTGTCTAAAGCGTCTATTATTTTTGTTGTTTTCCTTATTTCTGTATTTCTCTTCCGATGTTGTCTTTGTATGTTTAGTAGACTCCTTTCCATCGTTCTCTGGCACACTTGTATTTTGTTTTTGGTGTAGTTATTGTAAATCCATGTCTGGAAGCCATATGTAAGACAAGGTATTAAATATGAGTCCATAATTTTTTTCTTTAGTTTTAAAATTCTGATTTAAGGGTTTCTTTATTGCTCCAGGATTTATTCCAGGTTATGTTGACTCGTCTTTTAATCTAATCGTCGTGTCTTGTCTTTGAGAAAGATACTTGTTGACCCAGGTAAACATAGTTTTAAACATATTGTAATGTACTGTTATTAACCTTTATTGGAAGAGTTTGGTGGTTCGTCATAATAATAATAATCTTTCATTTGATAGAAAAGATTTTGCATTGTAAGTGCATACATCGAAGTTTTGTAGTGGAGATGGAAGGTTGTAGTCATTATCCCCCGCGGTGACCAGCCGTATTGGGAGATGAAGAGGGCCTTTCCTGTAAAGAAAGTATAATTATTTATATTATATGAATTAGTTAACGTATAAATTGAGTTTGTACAAATTGAAGGAATTAATTTTTATTATAGTTACTTATGATTTTAGAGTAATAAGTTGATTTGTAATATCTTTTGCAAAGGGTTTTATATCAGTAATTCACTTCGTTATAGGTATATATTTTTAATAAACAAATTTGTGAACAATACTTACCCCATACCATTATTTTAAAAGTTAAACAATTTGTAAATATATTTATAAAACCGAAATTTTGTAAACACCAAAATATTGAAAGCTCCTATCAAAATTTGAAAGAAACGTTTAAAAATAATAAGTGTCAACTGTCATAGCATAAGAGCACTTTCCGTTTAAAATATATCAAAAGAATAGTTTTATATAAAATAAATATATATATTAAGACATAATAGCTTATTGTAATTGATGAATTATTCAAAATAATTTTATATTTTATTTATTTTCATAGAAACATCTGTCGAAGTAAGTTTGACAGTTAAACTTCTAAACGTACTCGGAAACCACAAACAAAATTATCGTTCTTTCATTCGGTCTTGCGATGCTAATACGTTTCAGCTTATAGGCGGTCATGGTACGAAAAAATGCTATTGACTTTAGGTACCTAAACTCCGCTGCATCTCAACTGGATTGTTTTAAGAATGTTCATGGTAGGCCCCCAGGACAGCAGCTCACTGGAGTGAGCGAAGTACGTAGTAAAGAATCCCTGTGAAGAAGGCGTGGTTCAAAAGTCTTTATAACATCGACGTGGCCTGCGAGGAACACGCGAAACTGGAGCTCGGCGGAAAATCATCAACGATACTAAGTTAATTAAACACGCATTGTTTGTTTAACATTTGTATGAATAATGTGTGTTGTTGATAAACTCATTTTTATTTTGAAAATGTACTTCGATTGATCGAGTAATGAATCTATTTAATTGAACACGCAATGTAAAAAAAGACTAGCCCAGAAATGTAGCACTTTACGCCTGGAAATTGTTCAAAGCAATATATATCTACACATTTTTAGGTTTAGCTGGATACTTCCGGCGTTATATTGAAGGTTACGCGACAAAGACCGCAGGTATATCGCGTCTCACTAAGAAAGACGTCAAATTTGAATGGGGTCCCGAACAAGATCAAGTCCGACGAGAGCTCTTAAAGCTATTGACTAGCGAGCCTATACTTGCGATTTTTGACCCGAGCCTTTCCACTGAAATACACACTGACGCTAGCAGTGCAGGATATGGTGCCGTGCTCTTGCAGGCCCACACGGATGGTAATAAACGAGTAGTAGCATATTTTAGTAGGGTCACCCAGGGCGCGGAGCCCAAGTACCATTCATATGAATTAGAAACGTTGGCGGTCGTCAAGGCTCAGCAACATTTTCGGCATTACCTGGTTGGTATAAGTTTTAAGATAATCACCGATTGCAATGCCTTGAAGGCCACTAAATATAAGAAGCATTTTCTTCCACGAGTTGCACGCTGGTGGATTTAGCTGCAGGACTTTAATTTTGAAATTCAATATCGTAAAGGTACCATGATGGGTCATGCGGATTACTTGAGTAGGAATCCACTAGTGTTGCAAATCAATAACATAGAACGGCCCTTGAACT